GCATCCCCGCCAACATCTGTCGTTTCCTGACTTGTTCATTTTAGGCATTCTGACTGGTGTGAGGTGGTATCTCATTGAGGTTTTGATTTGTCTTCCCCTGATGGAAGGGCCTCATCCTGACTGGTCGATATTGGCAGGCGGCCCAGGCAGCTCACTGGTGCTTCCTGGAGCCAGGGTCCTCTGTTTTAAGGTGGGCGTATATACCGGGTCACATTCTGGCCTCATCCCAGGTCTGCTCTGTGAGAGAAGGAGTTTAGCAAGAACATCCAATGGGAAGCACCCCACATGCAGTGTTTGGGGCTTGTTCCCCTGGTCCCTAACGGTCTCAAGAGAATACACTTTCTGTGACGTCACTCTTTTAAAACTAACTGAGACTTCTCTGATGGCCCAGCATATGGCTGGTGTTGATAAATGTTTATGATTACATTTGTATTTTGTGTGCAGTGTTGGTGTTAGGTTAAGGTAGTTGACAGTTATGTTCAAATCCCCTTTGTCTTTATGACTTTGCCTAGTTGTCTTTTCAGTTACTGAGAATCTCCCACTCTGATTTTGGCTTTCTATATTTCTCCATTCTCCAACAAAGACTGACTTCTGCCAGTGTTTGTTTCATATACTTCGGAGCTCCATTACTAAGTACATACAAATGAAAACTGCTACCAGTTCACTGTCAGAATTTCCATCATTTCTTTGGATGGCTTTCACTTCTCTGCTGAAATTCTCCATCTGCTTCTATGTATTGTTCATCTTTCCCTTTAAATCCTCTAATACATTTACTGGGGTTACTTTATAGCCCATGCCTGCTAATTCCATAATCTATGTCTTTGGGCCTGATTCTATGACCAATTTTTTTCTCCTGATAATGGATCACGTTTTCTTGCCTCTGTCTCTTTAGTTTTTAAAATCTCATTCTGTATTTTCCATGTAGAAGAATAACTGAAAAGTAAATAGATAGTATTTGCTCCTTGAAAAGGGTTAGAAGCTGAAGCAAACACATCTGTAATCGAGCTGAGCTCTGTTGCAGCTTTGATTGGATTCAGTTCACCACTGGCTTCAAATACTTTGAGGGCTGGGTCAAGACGTTCCCGTCAGCAAGGCTTAGGATCTGAGAACTGGTAAGATTCGGAGCATCTCTCTAGGATCTGCAAGCCAGCAGCCAGATTCCTGAGCCCCAGGAGACTCAGCTCCATCCTGATATGACAGGCTTTGACTTGCTGCTTCCTGCATTTGGTACAGGCCCAGGCTGCCTTGGGAGAATGGCTCTCAGTTCTGCACTCTCCGAAGCCCTCAGTAGGGAGGGCCCTGCCGTGTGCTCAGGAAAGGTTCTGCGCACCCCGGAGACTCACTCTACCTCCTGTTCTCCCCTCAGCCCTTGGTGCTGCCACTGTGCTCTCAGTGAAGGGCTCGGGAGAAAGATTTGGGGAGTGGGTGTGGATTCACTCTGTGAGCAGGCATCCTCAGGTTCCTTAGAACCATCTTGTCAGCGCCACATGGCAGATGAAAGTTTAAAAGACGTTTGGGGGGCGCCTGGGTGGCTCAGTTGGTGAAGTGTCTGCCTTCAGCTCAGGTCATGATCCTGGACTCCCGGGATTGAGCCCCAGTCAGGCTCCCTGCTCAGCAGGGAGTGTGCTTCTCCCTCTCCCTCTGCCCCTCCCCCTGCTCATGCTCTCTCTCTCTGTCAAACAAACAAAATCTTAAAAAAAAAAAAAATAGGGACGTTTGGGTACAACATCCTACCATTTCTGAGGTAAAGAGAAATGTGCCAAGGATAAAAGCAGCCACCGCCTCCCTTTTCTCTAGGAAGGGCTTGTCTCTTACTGGAATTTAGTTCCGTTCTTACTGGGATCTAGTTCACTCAGGTTTTCTCTGTTCTCAGGTCTACAATGCTTTTAAAAATATCTATGATTATGGAAAACAAAAAAACCCTATGATTATGTAACTTACCTGAACTGTCCTCACTCTCAGGGCAGGCACAATGGTCTCCTGCAGCCTCCTACATCCAGACTGACGATGCTCGGCTTCATGTCTGGACATGGATATGAATAAATCATCCCTGGAGTGGGTACTAAATGCAGATTTTAAATTGTTACTGTGGTAAATTTGAATTTCAATCAGTTTTACGCACCATTGAAAAGAAAATTCTTTGCTACCTACCATGCACCTATTTCTAAGGGCTTCCACATGAAGGGATGTAGATGGTGCGCTGCCCGAAGTTCCCAAGCTCAAGGGGACAAGCACAGGGAGGGACAAGCAGGCTCCGCACTGAGCAAGGAGTCCGATGCGGGGCTTGATCCCAGGACGCTGGGATCATGACCTGAGCCGAAGGCAGATGCTTAACCGACTGAGCCAATCAGGCACCCAGGAGAATCTGTTCTTAATTCACACAAAGGCCCCACTTACAAAGGCTAGCCTTGGCCCCCGTATTACTATCCTCTGCGGCTGAACAAACTCCTGCTCCTAAATAATAAACATGCACCACACTTCTCTTGCCTGTTGTGTCTGTTTCCCAGTATAAAGAATATAAATTGCAGTGCACAAATTAATGACGGTGTCCTGCTCCTTTATCATGCCAGGTCCCGTGACTTCCAATGTACACGTCCATTCTCAAGTGACTGAAGTTCCCCCAAATCAAAAAAATGTGGGAAATCCCTGAAAAATCCTGGCATAATTTTTGAAAAAAAATGGAGACCTTTTTACTTCATGTTAATATTTATCTTTTTGTTGAGACAGAAATTCTCTGCTGATTTTCTTGATTATGATGTATCTCATATACTTCATTTGTTGAAAAGGGCTCAAAGTGGGCATCATTGCTATTTGCAAGAATGTTGCCTGAGTTATCTAGAATAACTGGTCATATGCCAAGGCCAGATATTTAAAAGGAAACATTGGCTAAGGTAGAGAGAGGACCTCAGCTACTAATAGATAAGCCACCGCCTCTTTGGGAAGCTTCATGCAGTGTAGTAGAAGAAACCTTTTCAAATAAAGTTCTTTCTCAATAAACTTCCTGACAATTACTTTGCAATCTCATTCCTTTAAGTGAGGGTGAGTTTAACCCTACTTATATATTATTTGGAGTGTAAGTCTGAATACCTATGCCATAAAACCTGAACCAAAATTTTCACTTAAGTCCATTTATCTGTCTGTGCACAGATTATATGAAAGTCTGTAATTCATTTATTTAATTGGTTCTATCAAAAAATATTCATGGAGAGGAGGGGAAAGATGGCGGAGGAGTAGGGGACCCTATTTCAACTGGTCCCCGGAATTGAGCTGGATATCTACCAGACCACTCTGAGCACCCACGAAACCAGCCTGAGATGTAAGAAGATCTGGATCTCTACAAACAGAGTATCGCAGGTGGTTGGTTTTGAGGTACGAAGCAGAGAGCCACGATCCTGCAGGCAGATATCGGAGGATAAACGGCAGCGGGAGGGTGCCTGCCCGTGGGGATCGTGCACCGCCGGTGAGCGACAGCCTCGCGCTGCGGACGGGCACAGACTCGCAGACCAGTAGCCTCGGGAAGGGACTTTAGGGCAGCCCCCGGGGTGGAAAACCAGACCGGCAGGGTCACGCGCATGCGAACTGCAACCTCCGAGACAGAAACCCGGTGCGCTGGGGTCGCGCCAGTGAACTGCAGCCCCCGGGGTGGAAACCCCGAGCGGCGGAGTCGCGCGCATGCAAACTGCAGTCCCCGGACAGGACCCCGAGCGGAGGAGTCGCGCGCGCGAGCTGGGAGCGGCTGGTGGTTTTAGAAGCACAAGGGGCAGAGACGTGCCCCGACCTGGAGGCAGGACTGGGGGCGCTGCGGAGGGGCGCACAACCGAGGACGCTGTAGTTTGTAGCAGCACGGACAGAAACGGAGACGGTGTGGCCTGGAAAGCTCACTGAAGAACAGACTGCGGTCTCTCTGCTCTGAGGCAGAGGGTTGGAAA